TAATAGCAATGGCCTCCAACCTAATAGCAATGGCCTCCAACCTAATAATTGACGCTCTCATCGTTGAAAACAAAACAACATCCAAAGAGCCAAGGCCTCGCACGTGCTCGCGCGTCCAACTTCCATGCGTGGTCCGTATATGCCGTCCACTGTGAAAATGATTCGGGACAACAGACCGGTCAGACCCACGAGAGGGTGTTGTTGCTCTAATGTTGATAGGCCGGCTTGGTAGGTCGCAGGCTAGCCAGCGTGGTGTGGCAAAATACAACACCTAGGATTCAAAGCACGTACTGATTCAATAGTTTTAAATACATGCATTTACCGAACCACCATGGTTTTAGTAAGGATTTACACTAATTACAAAGTTTAAACTAAGGTCAAACGGTCGAACGTATTGAACTCCCAGGGTATTGATAGCAATGGTTCCCTTCAGAACATGTACACTGCCTCATCCCTCAATCTAACCCCCCTTATCCCCCTTGATTTTCACGGGCCACCCCACCCCTCAATCACATACCAAATCCAGGAGCCCGCCTCGCTTCAACGCGGGTTCAGACGTGGAGCCTGCGTTTGAAATCAAGGCGATAGATACGTTTCCCCCTGCACCTCTGCCTTGAACAAGAGCCCCATGCGCATCAATCTGAAGAGTGGCGTCCTCAGTGAGTCGACCCATCCACGGGAGCTGTGGAAACCCAGTCCACCAGGAATCCGGGCTGTTCAAGCCATATCCCAAACACGACCGCCATCTGGGACTGCCACAGGACTGCCGAGAAACGGCCAGGGGTGGTTGACTGGGAGTCATGGGACTGGCAGTCCTATGGCAGTCCCATGAGTCGTGTCTGGGTATTGGCTTGGAGTCCGGACCCCCTGCAGACTAAGAGGGAGTGGAGTCCCAACCCTGTCCGGATTCTTGATTTCAATAAAGCCTCCCGCAATCTCAAAGGTCTTTTTCAGGTTGTGCCACCAAAAAAGTGGCATTGGTACACGAAAAGAAGATCCTGTCCGCAAGCTGCGGTTGTTTCCCCCGGTTGTCTCATGCGGTCGACCACATCTGCTGCGGGGGACTGATGAGATTCATCACCGACGGCGAACCCGTCGGCGCTTCGACGACCAGCCGCCACCAGTGGTGTCGCCGTCGGCTCTCCATGCTTGGAATAGATTAATATATAGATCATCGGCGGGGTCAATGGGGGTCAAATGGAGCGGCATCTACCTATAGATCTTCCAGCTATGCAAGATGTCTGCGTTTTGAGTCAGCCAAGTTAGGCAGAAATGCTGCACAGGCAAGGAAGATCCAGGAATCGCAGGAATGACACCCCCCGTGGCACCAACCCAACTGATCGGCAGATATGGAACAATATGGAATAGTATACTATGAAGTGTCTGGGCACGTTGGACACCAGGGGGTGAAGAAGACATCCATCGTTGCCCATTGGGATTTGTTGCTGCTCTCGTCCATACGAAGCCACAGACCGAGTGTTCTCGTCCATACGGACTTATGATTCCGACATATTCCAAGATCTAATACTCTTGAAGCAACATCACCTATCCTGAATCCAATTGAATTTGTCAAAGGAACCTGCAACAAATGCAACATATTTGCCGATAGATTCCCTAGAAGGGGAAAAAAGAAACGAAAGCAAAGCAAGTTCTCCAGTGTTTGTTCCATTCCACCAACCTGATGTGTTTACCAAAAGAACACCCATGTTAGGGCTTTGGCCCTGCTCTGTATTTCTGTTTTGGGAGACCCCCAGGCCCTGGCTGATAGACTGGTCAATCGGGAGGTCTCCTTCTTGTAATGCACATCACGCATCCATCTCCTGCAGACTCTTTGCCCAAAACCTCCCAAAAACCCCTGAACCTTCGGTCCTTCGGTCGGGGTGTCCAATCCAAAAACAGAGCGAAAACGACATCAGTGGTGACCAGCACCGGTCGCCCCTTTTGGCGGTTTGAAACAAAACCACACCCGGCCGACTCGACTTGGTGTGGCGAAGCGCTCGACGGGGTCGGGTGTCTTCACCTGATCGGAGAAGGACCGACCGGTTGGGCGAGGTGAGGATGGACCGGTTGGGCGAGGTGGGGTGAGAAGACCGAAACATGGGAGTTCCGAAATGGAGGGCGCGGGATATACATATACATTATATTATATAGAGTTATAGTTATATATATAGTTGCCTCTGAGGGACGTTGTACCCATATAGTTATATGAATATATATATATATATGTAACTATATTTATATACACCCTCAGAGTCCAAGACGATGCAACAATGGTCTGAGCAAATGACCCGAGTCGGAGTGGAAGTTCGAATTGGACCAAAGACCGACCGGTTGACCTACTCGGTGTCTTTCTCGTTCGTTCGCGGCACATGGTGGGGCGTGCTTGGAGGTGTCAAACTTGGAGGAATCCGGCGTGCTGGTGGTTGTAAATCCTTGATGCAGGCGCTGCGCTGCACTTCACCTCATCTGTGTACATCCTCCCTCTTAAGGATTGGCTTTTGGCGTGTTGTAGGTGCTCACAGTCCATGACAGGCAAAGATTGCTTTATATACTGTTCCACCACATCTATGTTCTTTGCTAGCTCTTTCTCTTTAAAACTCCATTGTTCTTGATCCAGACTGCATTGTAATTGTGAGCGCAAACCATCAAGTGTAGAGTATAGTGGAAGGATCCGTCTTCTTGCATCACTATCAGAATTATTTTGCTTTGTATGCAGTCAAATAAATATATTGTCTAAGGCAAACATGCGTTTGTTTATATAATGAAACAACTAGAAACAAGCCTAATGAGACTTGGGAGGGTAAATAGATCAGTGCGGAAGGACTGAACAGAAGAAACAACAACAGAAGCAAACAGTACTTACAAAAAACACCATAAAACCATGTAAAGCCCAATGTGAACTGCTTCATTCAAAGGCATATACACATGTATGTGGACTTTTGAGAAGTAACATATACACATGTATGTGTATATATATATACAGGCTGTAAGTAAACGTGCATAGTACCCTCCCAGGTCTCGAACGAATGCTCAACACATTGAACATTGGAGTGACATCGTGAAAAAATAAATAGGTCCAGGTGCGAGGTTACGTGTATAGTTGTATCTGTGTGTATATATACCCTATAAAACATGATTAAAACACATCGTTGACCTGGTTTTGTCGTCTAACACATTCTAAAACCCTTAGTAAAGTATTGGTTCTTTGGTAAAACCAAATATACAACAAAAAAACATGGTGGGCGAAGAATTCCAGGGGATGTAAATACACTTTATATATAACACACTACCAGGGGCCCTCAAAATCATTAAAACAAACAACATAGGTGTTCATATACCAAAACCATGATTTTTGCTAGGAAAAACCAGGTGTTTGATGGTTTGTGGCCCCTGGTAAACACTCTAAATATATGTGTACATTATAAACACACTGTATAAATAAAGAGCACTGTATATATATTATACCAATTGCATCAAATTCCAAACGCCCTAAATATATATATACATAAACACGCACAGATCCGTCAACATTTCACGGCTTTTCTTGTGCAAAACAGGACATGTAAATACACAGCCAAGCGGGCACGGATTCTGATTCTACAGAAAGGGCGGAGGTCAAGACACAAAGGCTCGGCCCCTCAACAAGACACGGGAAATGAAGACGTGTTTGTGCAGACGAAGACACGGCCCGACCCACAAGCTGCTCTACAAAACGCATTTCCAACCTCTCTGGCAAGCCAAGGCAGTACTGCGCAGAGAATCTAGCATCTCACAGAGGGGTCGTGAAACTATTTTATAGAGACACGCCAAGATCCTAAAAACTTTTCATAGAGAAACACTTTTGATCGTGGAGTCAATTTATAGAGAAGAGCGACGGGTAATGAAGGCATTGTAAAGAACCAAATGCCCACGTCTTTTGCACAAGGTTTTGATGCCATGTTCAAGAATCTAAGTTATGGTTCACAAATTGTTTTTGTTGCTTTCGGTTGTCATGCTTGGGCCAAAGCTCAACTCTCATCTATCTTAGACAATCTTTATAAAATTGCTAGGCTCTGCCCAACCCCATTCAGCGTGAACTCAGAATCATTTATTTCCTCCATAAAATGTTCTTTTAACTGCCTTGCAACACCCTAAAACATGTTATATATTTTTTTGTTTAAATGAAGGGCGTCTACTTTAGTACCCACATAGTCCATAGCCTCAGATGCGGTGTACGCCCGCCCATCAGCAACTCGGGTCCTGGCCGGACCTTGCATGGACCCACTGACCGGTTTTTTCGTTCGGCCGGTGAGCGGGCTTGGATTTGCGAAGCGATCTCGGGGCGACCTCTCGCTTTTGACCCCACACATGTCGTTCGGCTTGGATTTGCTGTCCCAGTGAAGAATACTGTGAATGAAGTGGACTCACCGGGAAGTTATAGACTGCACCATGTTTACGCAGAAGCAGTCTGGGCTTTTGCTTTTTGCCCTTCTTTCGCTTTCCTGGATCATCCCTCATCAGGGTCACCTGGCTACCAAACAGGACACCCAAACAGGATGATCCTGATGGGTTTTTGTGGGGCGGACCCGGCTGGCCCTGAACTTTGTGACCGGCTATGTCCAAGTCTCTGAAGCCTTTCCTAAAAACAAGCAGCGACAGCTGCGCAATCAAGTGGTATGAAGTCTGTTGGTGACCATTGATTTACCAATAGATGATATACTGTAATTCATAATGGTTGTGATCAATGCCAAACCAGGTCAACCTCCATCTAAGTGATCATTGAAATGGTCTGGCAAAGGGACAATGACGACCCACGCATACCCATTCGAACCGCCAAAAGACCGACCGTGGGCACCGACCGTTCCACAGTTCGCCCCAGCAGGTTGTCACCCCAACGAGCGGAATCGAAGCGAAAGGCCTCTTTGCCACGCAGCTCGGACTTCCTGGACGCTGCCAAGTCCTGGCCGAACCGGCCAAACGCTCCGTGCCCTTGGCGTAGCCCTAGACTTCCGGATGTTTCCAAATCTATCCCAAACACACTCCATGTATAAAATTATGGAATCATATCTACTCACATTGACCCCTGAAATGCCAGTCCCAGAGAGGTCGTGTTTGGGCTTTTTCAGCTTTTCGGCCCAAGGGATTGGCGGGAAGCCCCCTCCTGGTCCGATCCGGAGACTCCCCGAGCTTTGATGGGTTTGGCAAGGCTCGGAGACGCGACATCCTCTCCATGACTGAGAGACGCGGACCAGGGAAATGATTCTTCCAGGAGTCACAAAGGGGTGGTGTTTGGTCCCCAAGTGAGTGGATAAAGGGCACCCCTAACCTCCACTAAGCACCCCTTTGTGACTGCTGGTTTATGTGTTTATCAACATATTACCCCAGTCTATACCTTCAGAACATGAGCTGCTTCATGGTTGGAACTTGGACTTTCACGCATACGGATAGTTTTTTGCTCGGAAACAACTTGAAGCATTCTTTCAACATCTTTCAACCATACAGACCTTGCGAAACTATCCTACTTTGCAGTGTAGGGTTTGGCAAGCTACGGGACCCGCAAACGTACCAAACTTAAGTGATTGTTTCTTTGGGGGCAGACCCGCGAGCGGCCGCTCAGGTTCTATTCCTCTCCAGGAGTTTTGGAGTCGTGCAAAGGCACACCGCAGGGTTGTTGAACTTATGGCTTCCTTGTCATTTGGCGGCAGCAACACGAAAGAGCAGGTGTGACAGAAATCCTCACCGTTCAAACCGTACTATTACCGTACTATCTTTCCATCACCTAGGACCTGCACCCAAATGATACCAACTGCATGTTTATGAAGGCTACAATAATTCTACAATGCAATATGCCTAGACACTCCATGCATGCCATATATGCCTACATTGACCCCCCAAACCACCCCAATGTATGTATACATGGCATACATGGAGTGTCTGGGATGACTTTGCCCCAACATCCCGGGGATGTTCATCATACAGAATCCTTGAACCCTTGGTTTCTAGTCGTGTTCGGGGTTGACATACCCGCCCGGCTTTCATCAGCACCGACGATCGAACGGTCGATGATGGTTACTACCAGGGGACCAGTACCGAAAAAGGTGACTTTGACTGACTAGGACATGCTCCTGTCAGTACCCCATCCTTTGACTGTGGGACGAGTACGTCATCCTGTGGGACGAGTCCTTAGAGCGATGTGACTGCAAAAAGCACATGCGAGATACTCTTTGAGCAGTGCGGAAACTGTTTTCTCCAGCACCCAAGGTGTGTTATTTTGACCCGGACTATGCAATTTCCATCCAGTATCTAACTTCTAGCTACCGGAATTGTTTTGAGGAAAAATCTACAGGAAGCTCTAAGCCCATGGTTTTGGGGGGTGAAAACCATGGCGTTTCCTGTCGACTTTTCCATACGAAAAAACACTTCCTTGAAAGGTCGATGGGTGGCCGGCCGGCACCTCTCTTTTTGGTGCAGCGTGGGGCTCCCATAAAAGCATCTCGATTCGGAGCCGATCAAATGACACAGCTGGTGTACCTTTTAAGTTCAGCAAAAGACTTACAATAAAACGATCGTTTCACTACCCTCTCTGATCAAACTCTACATTCTACATGTTATGTATAATATATTTAATCTGTAATACATATGTATATTATATATAATGTGATATAGCGTGAATATAATGTAGTGTCATATATGTAACTGTATATAAATATAATATATAACAATGTAATGTCGATTACATTGTATTACAAATAATTCAGAAATGAAGTACTGCCCTTCTTCAGGTACCCCCCTCCTTACAAACCGCTGTTCACTCCACCGCTGTTCACTCCACCGGTGGTCCCAACTCCTCACCGCCGTCTCTACCCATCGGTCTCCACCGTCTCCCCGTCTCCTCCATGACCTCGGTCCAGCTTCCGGGCGTCGCGGTGGGGGCGGCGCCAAAACATTGGCCGCAAAGAACAAAACACCCTTTTCAATCAACCACCTGAAGTTATATAGATATGGCAGTCCCTAATGGAGTGTCAGCAAATGGTCTTCAAGGAGGCAAAAGCCAAAAGAGTTGTTGTTCAACTCCCAATCCAAATGGGCTGACCCCGAGAATCCTTGGGGCATGCGGCCCTCCCATGGCAGGGGTCAAACAGGGCTTTAGGCCATTTGAGAGCCCAGTTCGCTTCCCATGGGAGAAGGGCCTGGATTCTTAGGGTACCCACAGGATCCGGAACACCTTATAAAAGTAAACCAATTCGAACCGCAGGCTTTCCATGTATTGCAGCTGGGCTCTACCCCCAGGCTTCCAAGATCAGTTTAAACATGTTTGAACTGATTTATAAAGCCGTTCGGTTGTTACCTGACCCCTCGTTGCGTTGGTGCCAGCGCTGGGCTTCAAGGTCGTCGACCGGGGACTTCCGTCCCAACCAGGCGGAAAGAATGATGAGTCGATCTGATGGGGGGCCCAAGCGCATTTTATCCCGCACCGCGTGCTGCATGGATGGGGGTTCTTGCCGTTTTGTTGGGGCCCGTGTGGCCCCGTTCATAACCAGAAGACGGATGAGCGCAGTCATCGTTCTCCATCCGTCTACTGCTCATGTTTATGCCCTGCCCCTGAGCTCGACTTTGGGAATATGTTCCTTTTTTTGATCACCGGACCAGGTGCCCACTGGAGAAGGCGCTGTCTTTCTTTGCATCTACAAAGATTTGCACACTGACTTTGGTGGTTCGACTCCACCCTGGTCCTACTTTTTTTCCTTGATTTGCGCTCTTTCATTTTTTTCATTGCACCGTCGTCATTTTTTTTCAGGCGGCTTGGGAGTATGGCCGGGAATGTCTTACGTGTTGTGGTTGGCGTCGGTATTGTTTTGATGAGCGGGAAAATCACGAAATCCTTCCAGGCCTTTTGCTTCACCCTGGAAACCTAAACAGCCGGAAACAAATGGTTGGTCCAATATGGCAACTGAGGCCCCCCTTCAGATAGGAAGTAGTTGTTTGGGGCAACATCCGCATGCTTTTGGGCGGATTTTTAGCTTATTCACTGATTGATTTATGCACCTCTGGGTTTTGAGGGGCCAAGGGCTGTTTGGAGCGTCTGGGTGGCATCAAAATGAACATTCTGCCTCCAACTGCCGAAGATGGCACCCCCACTTTGTCAAGGAGCAATCCATTTTCCTCCATGATTGTTGGAGTGTAGCAGAACAAGGAACTATAGTCGTGCGTAGCACTTTCAACTCCAAAGCACTCGAACGCTTCCCTGAACTTCCAGCAAGCGTTGCTTTCAATGGTCCTTATACAAGACATGTCGTCTTTACCAAAGAACCAATATGTCTTATGAAGAACTTATGTAATAGACTACCAAAACCATGTCCGACTCCCAAGTTCTTTAAATGGGGTCGAATCGGTACGGCGACACGATGCCGGCAAGGAAGGCGCATGCGCCGCTACGGGTCTCCGGGCGGAGAACACGGCACGAAGCCGCTGCGGTCTCCAGGTGTCTTAAGCGTCGCGGACGTAATGTATTTGGGACGAGGACGGTCAAACCATTCGGTGGTTCGGTAAAGACTATTTCTATGTAAATCGATGGTTTGAATCCTAGGGCTTCTACAATTTGAGTCACTGACTTGTGGCTCATGTGGAGTCGAGTCGAGCTGTGAAGGATATGAAAGATCGAATGCTCCAAGCTGCGTTTTTCGCAGAACATCCTAACGTTCATGTCATCTCTCGCGCATCATGTCCTGGCTCAGCCTGACAGAACTAAAAACTGCATTTGAGCAGGAGCAAAGCAGGAACAAAGCAAGTGTATGCAAGTGTCCACCAAAATGGGTGGAGACTGCACGTTTGTGAACCGATGTGGAGGCAACACGTTGTTGCGCTGTTGCCTCAGTTTGCGCTGTTGCCTTCATCCTTGGCTGGTTGACGAACTGGATGTTGGCCCCAGGAAAAATGGGGCAACATCCAAAAGCATCAACGTCAACAGACCATCGCGTGTTGGGCCGTCCCAGTTCGCACCGCGAATCAAGGTCAATGTCACTGGTTTACCCCAGCGGTTGTTGCTCGCAGAAAGGGGAAGCTGGAAGCGGATTTGCTGGGATTTGCGAGGAACCGGGAAAATCATACAGAATATTCCGCCGGAAGGGGATTCACCGAGAGAAAGTCACAAAATCATCTTCAACAACACCAGATGATGCCAGGACCTTCCAAGTCCGGTGATTTTTGAACCCGAACAGTTGGTTTCTGGGCACCTGTTGTCAGGAACACCTCGACTGGAGGGTCCTGGCACCAAAAAATGGACCGGAGTCGCCTCACCTCTTGCTGTGGATCAGGATGGATCAGAACCCAAACACTCCTACCTTGACCCCTTGACAACCTTGACCCCCCCAGAACCTCCTCTTGTACCGTATATATATGCCTACCTTGACCCCCTTTTCAACCATCCCTTTCTGGATGCATATGCCAGTCCCAAATGGCGCTCGTGTTTGGAGCATGAGTCCCCCACACCTTCGCGGCCGTTCTTCCGGTGCGTTCTTCCGAGTCACCCACGACCGACTCACGGTCGTTCCGGGTCAAGAAAACCCCTGGCACGGTCCCCTTCTCATGCGTTCTTCCGGTCTCCAGTCCGGTGCGTTCGTCGTGTTTTCTGCGGTCGGTGTACGGAGAAGTCGATCTCCAGGCTCCAGTCAGGTGACGTCTGTTGTTTGTTACATACAGCTCCCAACATACAGTCTGGTGATATCACTGGGCTGTGGGTCAAAACCGGATGATCAGGTCCATGGTCAACCTATCAGGGTTTTCGGGCAAAACTGCGGCAAAACGCGTTTGGACTCACAGCCTGACATCGAGTATGTCAGGACCTGCGACCCAAATCGATTTGGGGCTCCAACCCCCAACATCTTCACGTTCGGTCGTTGGTGGGGATCATCTGGCTGCCAGTCTCTACCTTCTCAGCATCTGGGCCAGGACCTTTTAGGCTTCTTGGAAGTTTCTCTCGCTGACGCTCCTCGATGGCCTACAAGGATCTGAGTATGTTATTCAGAAATGGATTTGACGTTGAAGTGGATTTTGGCGTTGGGAGACCCTCCAAATCCTCCTTCCATACACAAACACCCACTTGTTGTTTGGTGGTCTCAAGAGCCAGATTTGAGGCATATCGTTCTTTTCATGAAGGTCTTTTCTTTTAGAAGGGCTTCAACTTTTCAGTCTAGGCCAAACCAGCGTGCTTTGCTTTGGTGATCAGAAACATTTGGTGTGGCTTTTTCAGTCGCTTTTGAGGCGATTCACAACTACTCACACAGCAAGATCTACTGAATTGAAGCGATTTCACCGCTGAAATGCTCCAGGCGGACCACGAAGCCCTGATCACTCACCCCCATCTCACTAAAACAAGTTTCTGATTGGACATCCAGATTGGGCAAGTTCTGCACTGCTTCTTGGGCGTTCCGGGCTTCTGAGTTGAGCAGGCAAGCCCCAACAAGAATGAAAGAGCATGGATGAAGAGCTTTACACCATCTGCAGGTGTGGTGTACGCACACATGTCGCAACGGGGGCTAGGCCCAGCTACCCTGTGCATTTGCAAGGGCGTGAGTCCATACAGCAGCAAGAACTGTCGGAAAAGAGTCCTCAGAGACCTGATTTTTTTGGGACACCTGGAAACACTCGCGAAACGCCAAGTATTCTTCAAGTGTCCCATGCTTGTCATGAAGTTGTTCCGTGCAGCAAAAAGCACAGCTGGTGGCAAAAAGTAAGTATGGCTAGGGCACATGCTCGGTCTATCCTGTTTCCACGTTACGGTGTATCGTGATGGCGAGTGGCCGCCATTGAAGCTGGAGGCCAAAACCTGATCGAACTATTAATCACTAGCCCAAACACTCCATATCTTTTTTTTTGCCTATACATTGATCCCCCAAACCACCCCGATGCAGGCATATATACAATACATGGAGTGTCTGGGTAGGTCGATCCTGGTTTCACTTACTGTATACTCATGAAAGCATGTCAAGTGTCAATGTGCAGGTGCCTGGGCGGCAGAACATCAGGCAGGACATCATGCAGAAAACCGAGGAAGAAATGAAACATGTTGGTTGGATCTAGCAGCTGCATGACCATCTTGCCTTCCAAACAACCAGCTTTATCACGTGATGCTTGCCGTTCTCTCCCATTTTTGAGCAAGTCTGCCCATGCCGAAAGTTCCTCTTCGGCCTTCGAAAACCATTTAAAAATACTATGCCTGCACCACCCAGGCCGGGTGGTTTATAGACCCCCCCGTGAAGAGCTATTTTCCATCTAACAGCCAAACCTCTCCTGGGTGGTACTGGTGGTCAACATGGGGTGAATCCCATGGAATCTTCTACTTCCAGTTGGGCCCGGTTGGTCTGTGACTAGAATACAGTACATGACATGTATTGCTTGTTTCTTTCTTTTCTGGGTCTACACGGAACATGTGGCTTGAAGCGTCAGGCTGTCAAGAAGCCAAAGTGGCACCAGTCGTGTGCGTCAGGCTCTCTCAAAAAGCCATACCTCTTGCTGCGCTGACAAGGCCTGGGCCTCTTCCTGCTGTCGTTCGTCACTCCCTTCGCACAAGGAGTCACGCCTTCAAAAGTGAATCGTCCAAAGGTTCCATGGTTCGTCCATTTTGCGGGAGGCACATGCGGTGCTACAAGGGGACGACATCCACTCGGGGTCGATTTCTCGGTTGCCCCAACCTACCCAAAGAATGACATCTGTGATGATATCTACCAAAATTCAATCATGCTGCTGCGTCTACTCGGATGCACCATGATTCTCACTCGGACTCCTTTTTCAGAGTGGTGGGCAACTGGTGAACGTTG